TAATATGATTATTAATGTTTATATGTGGTTTAGTATAGCAATATATTGTAATTGTTAATGTATATTATTTAATAATAATAAATAAAACCTACAAGAAAACATATATTTTGTAATAAAATAATTTTTTAAAGATAACGTAATATTATTATTACTTTGCTAATTCATTTTATAATAAATACCATTATTATTATATAAGTATTTTATTCGTATACTTTTATTATTTTTATCATTTAATGGGTCAAAAAAATTAAAATATTATTATGATAATAGTGTTAATCATTAATATCAATTTTTATAATTAATCTAATTTAGTAATTTATTTCCTAATGAATTATTCATAAGGATTCTGTATTTTTTATATACTTTCTCATATTTATTTAATTTTTTCGTTTTTTTTTTTATTTAAATTATGTTATATTATTTAAAAGTATATTTTTTTTAAAATATCATTAAGCACTCTTGCCTTATATATAACTAAATAGTTCATATTGCATATAATTGCATCTTTGTGACACAATTACTGTAGTAATATATAGATGATATTGAATCATTTATGATTATATAAAATATTATGTAATATTTATTTCAATTCATCTTTTGAAGCGATCATATTGAGTTTAATTTTTATTATATATATATAGAGTGAATATACATTTTAAATCATAACTAATAAGCACAATTTTTATTTTAATTATTTGTAAAAAATTTTAAGAATATAATTTTCTAATTAAAGATTTATGCAATTATTGTATAATATTATATATATATATATATATTGTAGGGTTCTGATAATTATATTATGCAAATAAAAAATAATTAATTAACTTATACGCCAAAATATCTTGTGTTATAGGGATTATAATATTTATTGTGAGAAAATAAGTATATTGAAGTATATTTACATATTATCATATGGTTTATTATAATGGTTTATAATAATATTTTAACAAGCATTCTTATGCTGATATATATATATTTATGGTTTCTGTTATCCCTAGGTTACATTAAAGCTAGTATGAAATAGTTATAGTTTTTTTTAATAATATAGAATAATAACATACACGAATGTTCGGAAGATTTGCATATCATAATTAATAACATCCAAATTAAAATAATCTTGTTACTATAGGTATTTAAATTAGACTAAGAATGTAAATAATTTAATTTACATTAGTAACTATTCAAATAAAGAGCATAATAAATAGAGGCATGAAAAAATATAATTTTATTACATAATCGTTGTGTAATAATATAGGTTAAATAAGCATAAGGAAAAATAAATATTATATATGCAAAAATTTTCTTATATTCTTGAGCATGATTATATGTATAATCTCATATAAAATGTTATACATGTATTTTTTTCGAACTGGCTTAGAAAACATATTATGTCATTCATTTTAGTATTATATGCAGTGGCAACATAATGAAATTCTCTTATTTCCTTTGCCAAATATGTTAAAAATCTGAGATATTATTTATTTTATACACTATGCATTTTTCTTTTGTTTGAAATAGTTCATTTTTATTGCTTTTCCTTGTGTCTCGTTGTCAAAAAATGTATATTCTCAATATTTCTATATAGTTGAACCTTTATAGGATCAAAAATACTACATCAATACATTATTAGAAGAAATAACATTATTAATATAAAATGATAAAAATTTTCTTTAAAATGTAATAATATATATCCCATAAAAAATAGAAACCTCAAAAAATATGGCCTTTGAGCATTTAACTGTTGATGTAATATAGTGTATTTAATTATTGTCTTGAATTTGATATGTACTATCCTTATAAATTAATGTTTTTTGTCATATCTTGAATTATTTGTATTTTCTAGTAAGTCAAAAAATTTAGATCATCATATATTAAGTATATTTGTAATTTATTTTTACCTTTCTCCTAGTATATACAATATTTTTATGAAATTGTTATCAGATTCAGTACATTTTGAATATATATTATATCTAACATTTTACCTATTGTAGTGTTACAAAGTATATTTATATGTTAACTATGGAATAACACTGCATTTATTATTAAATTTTACATGTTTAAAATACTCATATTTGTAAAATGCTATAATAATGAATACTATATTTACTATTTTATTCATAGTGCAATAATAGATATATTTAAATTAAAATATATTAAAGATTATTGTTTTTTAGATCTATATATAATTGGAAATTCAATCCAAAGTGGAAGTACACTATTTATTAAGAAAGATATAAGTAGGAAAAAATATTTTCTACGAAAATGTCTTAGATGTAGATCATTCTGTATTAATTGAATGAAAAGAATTAATACAAAAACGCATATAATAAATATATATATTTTGAACTTACTAGAATTCACAATTACATGTGTATTTGTAAATGTAGAATGATAATAATTTATATAAAATATAGAGCTTATATAAAAATAAATTTGACCAATGTATTGAAAGTGTAGTAATGTACACAAATACAAATTCTGTAATATGAAGTTATTTTAGATGGCATATATATTATTTAATATTTATCGTCAAAATATTCAGCATTTAATGTATTTTTATACAGGATTTTATATAATTTTCAATTTGACTGTTTTTAATAAAATAATAACGTAAAAATATCTATAATGTCTTATATGGTATTCAGAAGAGCATACTATAATTTTACATGCAATTATGATATCTAATTGCGGATTCCTTCCCTATTGAAACATTTTATAATAATAATTGTCATAGATTTATGTCATCAAGAATGTTGATAACACAAAAATGACTAATGCAATTAAATTAAATTTTTACATTAATCATAATTTATTGTATACTAGAAAACTCCTGAAAAAAGTTTATAATCAAAGGTAAAGCTAATATAATTAATATATTATTAAGTAGGGTCATCGAATAAGATTTATTATAAATATTTTTGTGATCCATAATATTATTTATTTCACTAATTCTATAGAATATTTTATAGAATAATGAAATTCTTTACATTTTTAAATATGTGTGATTTTGATGAATGATATTTCATGTAGAACACGAATTTTTCTAATTTATTTACAAGAATTTTCTAGTATTTGGATTAGATTAAAATATTAAACATAAATATAATATTTCATTATTTTTTTGGCACACAATCTCTATAATATATGAAATAAACTGTTTTAGTTCTCCTTTTTATTTCGTATTAGTTTTATATTTAACCAGTAAACAACTTTTCTTTGTAAAAGATATTGCAATTTTATTTTGTTTTATCATCAATTGTTTTAATTTTTATATAAAAAATAAATTAAAATATTGTAACATTCAATGAATAATGTATAACTAGTAAGAAAACATATTTTTTTAAAGAAAAAAGTAAGATAAAAATAATAATAACTGTGAATAAATGATAATTCAACACAATGAATATAATAATAGAATTCACAGGTAGAATAAATTATATGAATTATAGAAAATATCAGTAAATTTTAATTAAAGCGTGTAAATTTTTTTAGTTATATATTATATTTAAAAGTAAACACTTGAAATTAGACTTTATAAAAAAATTTTCATGAGTTAAAAAGCTTTTGTAATATTAATTTTTGTTGAGCAGTTTTTAATAATACTCTTTATGACCTCATCAATATATATATACATTAATATGTAACACATGATAAAGTAATGTAGTATAAATTAGGTTTCAGAGTTAATTATTAAATTGCGCAATTCTGAATTATAAATGCAATTTTATGTTAGATAATATAATAAAATAATATATTTTAGATAAAAATAATTTACTTTAATTACCTTCAATTTTTGTTTTAATTTTTTATTTGCACATACAGTTTTAAATATATTTGATAGTTTATTAATATTTTATTTATAAGTTACCGTTTAAAAAATGTAAAAAACATATTCCTGAAAAATAGTTTGTACTATAACAAGTCAACTTAAAACTTTATTAATAATACATATGTTAATTATGGTATTATTAAATTATGTATTGAGAATTGTTATATTATTTACTTATAAAGAATGTTATACTGAATTGACCAGGTAATATTTACCGTTGTTTTATTTATTGCATGTATTATATCATTTCATAGTAAAAAAAATTAGAAAAGCCTTATCTATGATATTGGATGCAAATATATATTTTTTTTGTCTAAATATAATATTCTTTTCATTTGCATATTCTACAGTAAAATTAATCACAATTATATAATACATTATATCTTGTATTATTTAATGTACATTCAGATATTACAGAATGTTGCAATTCATTTCTTTTTCCATGTATATTACTCAAGTAATCTCTTTTCCTGAATATTTTATAGATTAGAGAAGGGCCAAATGCTGTAAACTATTTCATAGTAAAAATATATTTATATAATAAATAATATAAGTTCCTTTATTATGAGAATTTTTTGTTTTCAATTATTTGAAATATTTCTTTATAGAATATATATATGTAAATGTAAAGATAACTAACCTTAAAAAAAATAAATAACAATATAGATGACAATGTCGTCACTACAAATGTAACTACTATGGGAAATAATATATTAGTTTTGCAAGAGTTTTCTTTTTCAGATACAGGGATACCTCTAATTTCACTACTTGCCATCTCATTAGTTTCAATATGTTCGTTATACTGACTTATAAACAAATCTGCTTTACTATAAAAATTCATTAATATATTTTCACCCATTTCGTACATTTTTCTCCAATTTAAACTATTATATTCTGTATACATATCATCTATGAGTTTCAGAATTATAGAATCGCTCATTGTAATAAATACATTATGTGCCTTGCATTTATGTGGTATTTTTAACAATGACTTACCATACACTGTGAGAAATTTATAAAATAGATTTGTATTTTCCTGATTATAATATGTTCCCCCACTATTATTCTCTAACCAATAATACAAATAATTGCAGCCCGCTTCTATTAACGTTTCATGATTCATCGATTGTAACTCAGATAAAAACAAAAACGTCTGGTAACACGTTGTCGTATTTATTGAAATTCCATTTTTTTCATCAGAACAAGCTTCTTGCCATACAGATGATGGAGACATATTTTTAAATTTATCCATAATATTACTATATATAGGAAATAAAGATACAAGAGTATACTAAAAAGAAAAGTAAATTATTATAATGGTAAGAATTACACAATAGTGAACAATAATTTATAATATATAAAGAATATGATATAAAATATAAAATAACGTTGAAAAATTATGATAATTAAATGTACAAATGATTTTCCCATTATTCCTAATGTTATATTCTATAGCACGTTAAATGAATAACTTAATGATTCTTATAAAATAAATATACATATATTCTGAGTAATAAACATGAACCTTAAAAATTTTCTACGTTGCAATGTTTTATAATTATATAATTGGTGATATAATACCAGTGAAACAATAACTCATTGTTTTTTCTACATTGCAATATACAATAGAAATTATTTCAGATAAAACATGTATATTAATAATTTTATTTATTAAAATGTGAAAAACTTAAATGTATTATTTATAACAGAAATATATATTACTATTGCTAAAATGTATTGTTAGTGATATCATTTTATATAAAAATTATTATATTTTAGAAACTTACTGATTAAAATTGAAACGATATATATATAATATATTATATTAATTCGAATATTTATATAAATAATTTTTATAATCTGTGATTCCATTGATATAGCATTATGTATAACACAAGGTAAAATATGTAAAATATTAATTTAATTTTGTATTAGCATTCACACCAAAATTTATTTGCACATTCTGAATAAAAAATATAAATATCATTAATATGAATTATGGTAATAACTATCATTTATATTAATATATGATGGCTATATCTATTACTGCTATACAATTTTATATATTATAACTTGAGATCTATAGCTAATTTTAATAAATATGGTAAACAAATATACATATATATAAATTATATAAATACAATATATTAGTATATTTTTATAATAATAAATGTTCTGAAATGAATTCAGACTGTGTCATTTACAAGATAACAAGTGTATATAATATACATAATTTTATCTTAATATTTATATAATAAATAACTTATATTATAATATTACTAATACATAATAAATTATGTTGGTATTATATTAAAACATAGAATATATTATTTTAACATATTTACATGTTCGTTTTTAACAATTATAAAATTTTTGATAAAAATAGAAATAGTTATATATTGCTTATGTTTATTATTTTGATGCTTTTTTTTCATACGGAAATTAATATATATGACTTATTTATATTAACAACAGTGTTTTATGAATATTTTAACTGCATGATTATTATATATAATAGTAATAAATAATTATTATAATATAGTTAAAATCATGTAAATTAGTATACTACTGATAAAAAAAATACTACATCCACCACAAATACATATTGATAAAAATATAGAAAATCCCATATTAAAGTGTGCTATACAATAAACATGTAATCTAAATATATCTCCACTTTATACAGTAGAAAAAAAAAAATTTCATTTTTTTTTATGGAAATTAGCTATTTATAATATATATATATTTGCCATAATCTATGTAGTAATATAAGAAAACAGGGTCTTCATTAAGAGAATTAGTAATAATATATAATAAAATAGATTTTTTTGCCTGGAAAATATCAATAGATCTTAATTTTGTTCATTTTATATAAATATTAAAGGTTATTTTGTTACCATGTATTTATATGTAATGTAACACTTATATTAAAAGCTCAAAATGTATTAATGTCACATTTTGAATTTTTCATATATAGTGAAATAAATTTATTGCTTAATCTAAGTTATTTTTCAATTTTCACATAATTTTACATTAACTATGTTAATTTATATTTTATCTATGAATTATTATGTTACATGTGAATATATAATCTACAACAAATATTTATAAATATATAATTTATATTTTTCGGTGTGCTTGTAGAATTGGCATTTGTTGTTGTCCTTTTATATATATAATTTAATAATAATATAATATTATAACATTGTAATTAATATTTTGTTTAAATCATTATTTGAAATTTAAATTACATAAATGTATTTAATTCTTTAATATAAATTAAATTTTACTTCATGTCAAATTAATAACGCATAAATTAATAGCTACTATAGGCACACTTATGCATGCAACAATAGTAAAGGATATCAAACCAAAGCATGGGTTAACTGGTCGTGTGAATGATTAATAAAATGTGTTAACCACATATTAAATATTTATTATATGTATACTTGTACATAAATATAACATTAATTCATTAGGCATTCGTTAATTATAATCAATTAATGAATTGTATAATGTGTTCATTATAAATTAAAATATTTCTCACTGGAAATAAATTAAAAACATAAAAATGGAAGAATATATAAATCCATATTATTCCTTCATATAACGTGTATATATTATAAAAAATTAGTATAAATTAGGAAATATATTACATAAACACTTATACCTTTATTTATGCTTCATTTATTTTAATGTACATCTCTTATGTATATATATAGTGCAAAATATATTCTTTCCTACAATAATTAATAATGCCACAGAGATGAATTGTAAAATGGAGCACATATATAAAGTGTAACTATAAAATATATCTAGTAAGAACTATTCACTTATTGTTACCACTGTAATATTATATTTTCAAAATTCACATGCATCTATAAATTATGATTTATCTAATAGTTCATATATTCAGAATATTTTTTATTATATAGTTAGGTATATGTACTCCATAATTAATGATTATTAATTTGAAAGAGATAAAAAACTTTTCATATAAATTATTAAGCGAATATTACGCTGAGACGGATGATTTATATTATAAGAGAAAATTTTCATCTAAGATCTTATTAATGTTTCGTATATGATTTATATCCTATTTTTTCACAAAGACTGAAGCCATAGAAATTGTCGTATAAGGCTATAATATACAAGTTGTTTTAAAATAAATGATGACATGCTTTTATGCAATATTTGTTTTCAACTTGTGAAATAAAATAAAAATTGTATTTCAAATAAAAAAAAAATATTTATTCTGCTATCATTTTTGACTAAAAAAATAATTAAATATCATCAAGTTCATAAAAATTATACTTTATTTTCATACTTAAGTACGCATTAGTTCAAGTGCATTTTCTTATATAAATGGTTTAAGAAATTTTCAAAAAAATTATAACACATGTAAAATTAGAAACAAATACAATATCATATATTTTTGTAATACTATTGCAATAGTGCAATCCAAGTTCTCTTATAACTCTTTTATAATTATAAATATTTAACAATGTCTTGGTAACAATTCTACGTTAATATAACAAAGTAAAAATAATTAAAAATAAATTACTAAATAAAATATTAGTTTTTATCTCATTCAATGATTATTTAAGCACATCCATGATAAGCAATTTGATATTCATATACATCATTATGTTTAATATTCAAAAGGGCTATACGAAAAAGGAACATTTTTTCTTTCCCTTTTGAATGAAGGACCAAATAGTATTTTCTGTAATCTTTCGCTCATTGGTTTTCTATTTTTCCTTTTTTTCTTCTTAGAAAACGTCACCAGAGGAGCATACTATAAATAGAAGTAATATATATATTATTACGAATTAAGTGTTTTAAATAATTAAAAATCGAGTTATTCTTTTAATGCAATAAATTGTAGCTAACTTTTATAAGAAGAGATAACAAAAGAATAATTGCCAATGGAACCAAAGCTATTATTATATATTTATTATATATCAATCCTTGATTTTCATCATACGGTCCGTTGGAATTATTATCTACAGTCATCTTTTTATCATCTGCATCCGGAGACAAATTTATAAAAGTTGGACCTCCTGATGTATATATTTTAGAATAGTTCACACTATTATATTTATTAGAAATTATATTCTGGTTTTACGTATTAATTTAAGAATAAATGAAAAATATATGTAAATTTTATTATGAAGATGTATATTCTCCGTGGGATATCATTTTCTGGTGATAATGTAATTTTTTTGAAGATGAAGTTGATACAATATGTGCATATATAAGAAGGGGGATAACTCTTTCTCTATGTTTTCTTTCTTTATTACCTGAGTTTCCAGGTTGAGAAAGGTTATAAGTAGAATCCCCCCAGGTATGGATTTCTGCTTTGTCTTCTAGCAATTCACCTATTTTAAAATAAAAAGAATTTTCAACAGTAACTTTTTTAGCGCTTTCTTGTGAATCAGATTCCGTAATATATATACTTATGGCATCAGCTTCTTTATTAACAGAAGTATCATCAAAAGAAAGCTTGCCATTAGGGATTACAAAAATATCAGTGTCATAATGTACGCCTTTATGCTCATTAGGTATGTCAGTAGGAAATTTATCAGTACTATCTTTACCATCAGAATCATCGTTTCCATGAATCACAAGATTATAGTTGTCAGCACCAGAAACCTAAGGAAGAGTAAATTTAGTTTTATGTTCTTGAATTTCTATATTTTTGCCATAAATATTTTGCGCATCACAAGAATCATCATTTACACTATGTTTTGCACGTATATCACTTTGAATATATTGTGTATTTACTATATTTTTTCCCTTGGTGTCAACTACTTGAGATCCCACTACAGGACTTAAATGTGATGAAGTTCCTTTTTGGAAAATTTCTGTGTCAGAATATTCGAAATGACCTGAAGAAAATGAAGGTTGTTTTGGAGCATATATATGTTCATGCAAACTAGTATTAGGATAAAATGTTTTTTAAGACACTCCATCTCGAACCCTCTCGAAACTATTAGATGTTCCTACAACACGTTGTGATCGTGGTTTTACTTCTTCTCTTTCTGCAATCTCTAGTTTAGCACTTCTTTGACCTGATTGTAGAGAATCCTGTCCTTTAGAATATAAGTTATTTTCAAACTGTGTATCATCTTCTCCTTTTACTTCTATTAACGGCATTTCATTTTCGCGATTTCTTTCTATTCCGGACAAATTTTCCGTTTCACGTTTTAACGCTCCACTTGCATATGTAGGAAAGGAGAAATTGCTAAAACTATTAAAACTCAGTTTACATTTTTCATAAAGAGTATTTATGTCTTCCGAACTAATTAAATAAATATCTAATAACTCGTTTTCATAACATTCTTTTAACTCATTTTCTTTATTTTTTACAATGTTAAGTATATTTTCGCATTTCTCTAAATTATTATGTTCAATATCATTGAACTTTTTAATTACATCTTTAATTTTGTTAAAAATATCAACATATATATCCAAACAACTAAATTTTTTCCAAGTTTGGATAGTTTCATATTTAACGGATACACTTGGAGGCCTATACATCTAGTGTTATTATAGTACTTTTTCTCTTTTCTTTTATTAAATATTTAATTTGGTAAAATAATTTTTGTATATTTATATACACACCTAAACCACTGGATATAATTTTTTAATATTGGAACATTGGATTATTAGTTTTAAATATGTTAAAATAATTATAATAACAAATGTCATAAAATGACAGGCTTAACATATCATTAGTGATCGTTAAAAGTAAATAGATGAACCTTTCGTAATAATAAAATTTGAAAATATAAGAACAATTGAACTTGAAACTATGAATTTAAATAATTTGTATCATTTTCATGAAGTTAATACATACATCACAGGTGTCTATAAACCCAAATGTTATATTTTAAAATTAAATAGTAATATAATATATATATTCATTAAAAATTTATGTACACTGTACAATCACAAACAAAATACCAAATGCTGAAAGGAATCATTCCTTTTTTCGATAAATGAAATAAAATTTGTTATGTAAATTATTGTTTATATGTATATTTAAACACTTTCCTTTAATAGTAAGACAACATTATTTGTTATTGTGCGCTTTTGAATTTTTATATATTTAATTTTTTCGATTTTGATGTAATGGATTTTTTATAGAAACTTTTTTTAGTAAAATCTACAACAGTTCTATTTTAGTTACAAATAAAGTTTTGAGTATTTATCAATATATGTCATTATAATGTTAATAATGTGTAATTTTATAATATTGCATGTAAAGACAACGAATATATGATCCATGGATTATAATTAGATTTAGTTTATATTTTCTAAAAAAAATTGTAATTAAGATGTCTATTAAATAATAAAAACAAAGTGCATATTGGTGCTTTTTCTCAATTAATAATTTGTGCTTTTTTTGTATGTGTAGTTATTCTACTGAACTTTCCAGGAAAAACTTGTCTCTTATTTTGTCACTACAAGGGCTCCGACTTCTTTTTTTTTTCCAAATCATTAATTTCATTTAGGTTATATTTAAAATGTTACAATGTTATGGATTCTAAAAAAAAAAAACCACTGTTATTAAAAATAAATGAGAGCGCATAAATAACACACATTTTTCATATTCAGTAATAGAATGGACAAAACATAAAAATATTTTGTTTATTATTGTAGATTTGTTATAATCATTTGTTGCTATACGTGCGTTAAAATAAATAGATTAAAATGCTTGCAAAATTCTGGAATGCAAGAGTAATTTATTTCTGTTTAAACATTGTTAATTTATTTAACATTTTTACTGCATGCATAATTTTTTTATATTTACATATTGTAATTCATAT